GCGATATTTTCGTCGGTAGTTGCAGTTTTTGGACGTCCCGAACACTCCTCCTGTGCCAAGCTCTTACGTCCACGTTTAAATTCAGTTGCCTGAAATTTCACAGTGGTAAATGATGATGCAGAGTTCCCATACACAGAATCCAACTCATCTTTGATTTGCATGGGCGTATTGCCTTTCAAAAACAAATATTTAATGGCAGCTCGATACTCGATTTTGTCCATTTTCACAAAAACACTCATCAACTCATTCAAACGACTGTTACATAAATACTGTGCATCCAAACTGGCTGACTTTGGTGGGTAAATGTCAACAGATGAACAACAAAATTTTCACTTGCTTTTATTTACGAGTGCTGATATCTTCATGTTGCAGTTGGAAACTTTTCAGACCACCCTCGTACTGCCTCTTTCCAGAACCAAACATTTCAAATTTTGACTCATCTTTCCATAAAAGTTTGTTCCATTCTTCTTCTATCAAATTTTTGCATTCTTTGGCAAACTTAAGTTGCTTTCAATTATTTACAACTTTTAATGCCAAATGATAAGAGTTTCCTTTGCAAAACACATTTAATATCGTAAAAATTGAAGGAGTCATAACATTTTATAAAATCTTGTATTATTGTCATTTTTATTTTTCTGGTACTTCATAAACCAGAATGTTGGATTTATAGAAAATAAGGATTTATTTTATTGCCGAGCCTGTGGGTGTCATTTTTAAAAAATTCAAAACATTGGTTTCTGAAAAATTATGAAAGAGATATTGATTTATGAATTCAAAATGTTTATTAATTAAAGTTTGGCATCTTTAAAAGCATGAGTTAACACCTAAAAGTGGTGGGTCTTTATTATTTTGATTGCATTAAAAAAAAAAAGAAATTATATCAAAAAGGTCAACAATATTTTAAATAGGAAGATGGTGAAAAAAACCCATAAAAAATGATATATCATACCTGAAATAAAAAAAATGCTGGAAATCCTTCAATTTATAAATGTGAGAAATAATTAGATATAGAAATAAATAAGAGTACTAATAAGTTAGTGTTAAGTGGAAAAGCTAAGTTTTCGCCATGTTTATCAAAAAGCAACAGTTGGTAAATGTATGGAAGTATATTTACAACTTTTTCCTTTGGGATTTTTTTGTTAGATCATCTGTTCGACCATAAAATGGATTTCAGCTGATTTACAACGGACACCCTGTTTATGCATAATTTTATTGTAAAAATTGTACAAATGTATTTAATTTCTAATTTTTTATACATACATTTTTTACATATATACAAAAATGTAGGTACATATGCTGTAATTTTTCACATAAAAATTATTACACGTTCATTTTTCTTATTTTATGGAAAAAGCTGTTCCAAATGTATTTTTCGTGTTTCCTCTTATTTTTTATGATTTCCAATGTTCATCCATATTTAATTTAGAAAATGCTAAATATTTTAATCACTATGTAGACATTTGATTCCATACACGGTGCTATGTTTTGGGCGATGAAATTATTCGGAATGCCACTGGATAATTTTGATGATAATTATCCGGAAATATTCAATAAAAATTAATAATAAAAAAATTGTAAAAGTTTGGATCTGTAATATATTGATTGGCCCAGGATTAATCAATTGAATTTCATTTCTTAAAGGCTGGTTTGTGTTTATCATGCTTTCTAATTACCAATATTACCTGTGATCATCATGATATAAAGAGGTGGCAGAATTAAAATAGAATTTACTAAAAAACGTATTAATTTATTCATGTGAGATATGTTCAATAAAGAATAATATACAAATTATGTGAAAATCTTTATGTACAAATACTATTTACAATAAATAAAAACATGATTCAATGAATTTAATAATGACTTTGTGAAGATATGGTTTCAGATGGACTGTTTTCAGAATTATGCCATGAAATATTTTAACATTATTAAATCTATTATTGGGAATTAAAACTTATCTGAGACTCTAAATATGATGTGGTTAGATTGTGTTGGTCTTTCCATCACTGCATCTACTGGTTCGAGCTAATCTCATCAAGCCCAGGTCCAAACTCTGCCAAGACGCCTATCTCTCAGGTCTGTGTAGGCCAAGATGCCTCTTCAATCACCAAGGCCGGGAAAAGATATAAGACCTCGAGCCTTTTCATCTATGAGATTTTATACAAATATCCATGGTGGGGCAAGGATTGTTTTGATTAGTTCTCAACTTTGGCGGGTGTAAAATTATTTAAACTAGCCACACCCTAATGGGGTATAAGTTTGCTAACTTGTCCAAAGAGTCCCAGGTAACGTGCAGTTATATACGTAAAAATATCACCTAACCTGTACAAGGTGTCTTTGTGATGTCGGCAGTCGGCTTCTTTAAACTTTTTCTTTGTCTTCAGCACCTGATATTAAGTTTAAAAGGTTATTTACTATGTTTAATACATATCAACAGAAAGTTTTTTTCTAATAAAAATTCAAGATTTTTGAAAAAAAAAAAGCAATTATCAATATATTTTTACCTTATGATTTTTTAATGATAAAATTAATTTCAGTTAATTCAGTGCACTAAATCGAATGCTCTTACAATTATCTATCAATTTAAACAATTTATTTATTTTTCATAAATTGTAGGAGATAGGTTGATTTTCTGGATGACAATTTTATAATAATTTATTCATCAGTTGCACCAGTTATTTAAAGGAACATGGTATTAAACGATAAATGTAAAGAAGGTTAACTTCTGGAACTCGTTAGGGTAAATGCAAATGTCTAGATGAATGTTTTTGAAGAAAAAGGGCATTATAGAAAATAGTAAATCATCTTACAGGAACTTTTAATGAGATCAGCCATTATGAAGGCCTGAACTTTGGGCCGAAATGCATGCAAAAATAAAAATAAATATAATTTATTTATTTTTACTTGTTACTTGTGACTGCTCATCCTAACCAACTCTTCTTCAATATTTGAGAAAATATATGTTACGATATCAGTGTGCTCCTGATTAAACTAAAGAGATTAATGAATTAATCTGATTTTGATTATAAGGTATAATGGCTTGTGTATTAACTCTCATAAAACTGTTTCTTTTGAAAAAAAAAAATGTTATACTATCTCTTTGTTATCCTTCTCACCTCTAACCATCAAGCCTCTTCTCTAGGATCTTTTAAATACTATATATGTCCCCATCTTCTCAACTATCTATCCTCCATAAATATGTAAAAATTAACTGCTGGCCCAAAGGCTAACAATACAATATGACTCGCTACTGAGGCTTTTCAGCTAAGTTACTTGTTCTCATAAGATAGACCAGTATCTTTCTCACTAGTACCATATCCACATCTCTGCATCTGGTTACATGGTCTACATGTCAACACCCTTTATATATACATATATATATATATATATATATATATATATATATATATATATATATATATATATATATATATATATATATTTTAAATTGAAGATAAGAGTGGTTGCAGTGATCAGTCAAAAAAAAAAATTAAATAAATAGTAATAATAAATAAATAAATATACATTTTTATTTTTGCTGACATTTCGGCTTAAAGTTCAGGCCTTTATCTGGGCTAAGTGAAAAAAACAGATATGTGAAAGTATAAACATTAAATAATAAAAAAGAAAATATGTAGGTGAAAGATATAGTCTAAAAAATGTAGGTGGAATAATAACAGTAACAGTTAAAGAACTAAGAAATAAATAACTGCAACAAAGTAGGGATTGATGAAGTAAACATAATCAAAATGAGGTAACATAAGAAATGAAAAATGAATTAATAACGAAATGTATGAGATAAAAAACGTAAGTGTAGACAAAACATTAATGGAGTGACATACTTGCTAAAATATGATGTAATAGTATGCTAAAAGGAAGTGAGATAATCATAGAATAAAATGTAAAATAGAGAAAAAGAATATGAAGTTATATAATTTTTTTTTTGACTGATCACCCCAACCATTCTTATCTTCAATTATTCACTACAGTCAACCATCAATCCAATTTTTAATTTAGAAAATCAATGTTTGTGCATGAAATATAAATGTTGTGTTAATTTTGAAATAGGGTTAACTCCTTTTGAACAATAATGCAATTGACGCCTTAAAGAAAAATTATTAGAATTTTGAAATTATTTGCACCCTCCAAAATAAATTGTGCCTATGCCTCTACATCAGGTGATGCTTGTTTACCAACAATGCCTTTCATTGAGAAGATTTTGTGCTGATTTTGATGCCACCCTTCTTCCCTTGATCTGGTCTCTGGAAACAGCATTCCAACTCTCAGCATATTCATACATCACTTTTCGTGTGCACACATCAAAGCACTAATTTTAAATGATTAAAAATATTTATTTATAGATGTGTATTCATTTGTCATTAGTAACTAAATACAGTTTATGTCTTTGCTGCACACTTAATATTAATACCGCTTGACAGTAATGTGGTTTATGTTACATTCGTTATTAGTGGTAACACTGAAAAAAAAAACCATTAAATTTAAAAATTTATCTTTTTTTTTGTCCACCCCTTCCTCGTCTTATAGGCTATAAGGTTTTTCCCGGGCGGCCGAGGGAGAGGGCGGGGGTTTAATGCCAGAGTTAGCCTGACTAGTTACCAAAAGCGGAGTTTGGCTGAGCAGGGTGAAATCAGAGGTGGCCGACAAACGATTGCATAGTAGACCCTAGCTTAGTTAGCAAATTGCCTTGCATCGGTACCATATTCCGTATTACATTTTTAAGGAATTGCAAAGTTGGTTCTGTCGGAGTTGAAAAGAAAAATATATTATTTGTGTCTCGAAATATGATAATTCAGACATCATATTTACTTATGTGACACCACGTTTTTGATTGCCGATTTAACATTAAACCAAAATAAAATAACTAGAGAGGCTGCGCTGTGAAAACAAACAGAGAAGAATGTCACTGAGGAACAAAGCCACACGATTGTGAGGCTGTGGTCGGGGAAGCAGATCATAACTTCAAAAACCGAACCACACGATCT